GCTCAAACTAAATGGCATTTACGCGTCACAATTTAAGTTTTAACAAAACTACGCAAGATGGCACAAATACGCAGTGCAATGAGGTTATTAAAAAACGTGTGATAAGCGCATAATTGCACATAATTGTCTCTATGATTGTGTCATGTCACTTCTCTGGATTGTTTTTTATGAGTATAACACTGATCTATGACCATGTCATCTCATTACTTTGGACAGTTTTTTACGAGTATAACACTGATTTCCTTAGTTTAAAGTGATTCTTTGCAACAAACTGGACTTTAACAGAAATTTGTAGTTAGGTCTGTAGGATCGTGTGATCTCACCCCTCTGGATCAACTCAGTTTAAAGTAATTCTTTTAGGAATCTTTAATAGAAAACTGCGAATAAGTTTTTACGATCATGTCAATTCACTTCTGTGGATTGTTTATTTAGGAGTATAACAATGATCTGCTCAGTTTAAACTGCTTATTTGTAATAATCTCAACATTTATAGAAATTTGCAGATATGATCATAGAGAATGTGATTGTGTGATCTCAGTCCTGTGGATTATTATTTTTATGAGTACGAAGTTGACTTGCCCAGTTTAAAGTAATTATATGCAAAATTGTAACCCTTAATGGAAATTTTAATAATGTCTTAGCATAGAATCAATTTTTGTTTTGTTCTGTGAATAATATTCACTTTCTAATATTCTAGCATCTCCAGGACATTTTATAGTGGATCCACTAAAGCAGTTTCTTAACATTTTTTTTTTCTGATCTTTAATGGAAATTTTAATAATGTCTTAGCATAAAATTGATTTATGTTTTATTCTGTGAATAATATTAACTCCGTAATATTCTTGAAACTCCAAGACCTTTTATAGTGGATCCACTGAAGCCGAGTCTTAAGCATTTTTTTTTTGGTCTTTAATGGAAATTTTATTTTAATAATGTCTTAGTTTAGAATTGATTTAGCATAGAATCGATTTTTGTTTTGTTCTGTGAATAATATTCACACCCTAATATTCTTGCATCTCCAGGACCTTTTATAATGGGTCCACTAAAGCAGTTTCTTTAGCATTTTTTTTTTATCTTTAATGAAAATTTTAATAATGTCTTAGCATAGAATCGATTTTTGTTTTGATTTGTGAATAATATTCACTCCCTAATATTCTTGCATCTCCAGGACCTTTTATAGTGGGTCCACTAAAGCAGTTTGTATATAATATGTATATAATATGTATGTATATAATATTTTTAAACAAAATTTACTAAATTTTTGTGCTGTCTTAGAAAAATAGCGAATGACTTAACCTTCCAGAAGGTGCAGACACCGAAGTAGTAGTAGAAAAAATTCCTCATGTCAGTGACATTTGTGTATGTCGTAAACAAATTAAATACTTGTCAGCAAAAATTTCGTTTAACTTTTGCATTAATTTTTTTTTGTTCCAGTGTTTCGGTGAAGTGACAGTTGAAGACGTTGTTTCCTATTAAGCATTTTTTCAGGTTTGATTTTTTACTTATTTTGCGTTAATTTTTTCTTTGTGTTGTCCTGTTTTGTACATAAATAAGTGCTAAAAGGTGTCAAAAGAATTTCATTTCTTAGCAAATTGTGGGTAATTGTACCAAAATAAATTCTCGTCTGCAGAAGACGAAGTTAAATGAAGAAATGCTGTCATTATTTGTTCTCAGAAAATTGGTTTCTGTTGGCTTAAAACATTTTTCAACGGGAGCCAATGCACTCTGTACAGAATTGGTTCGCACTTACATATTTCAAGTTGTATAAAAATATTTTTGTTGTAGGTTTTTTTTGTTTTTTTTTGTAGTCGTAGTTTTTTTAAACAGTGCCGTGTTCGATAAAGTAGCTGATATTTTCATTTCATTAAAAATTACATTTAAAAGAATAACAGTGTAAATTTCAACACCGTAGCTGTCACTTTGAATTTACCGCTTTTGACGCCACATTACGTTAATGTTACATTACGTTCTACGTTCTACGTTCGTTACGTATACGTTGCTACCGTGGTCCCTGGTATTTCGCACATGTAAATCCTTGAATAAGCGCTTCCACCTCTAAAAGTAAACGATACTATCAACATAACTTCATTACGAAAGTTCACCTCTCCAGCGCCATTTCAAAAGTATGACTACAAGTTCTGTGGCGGCTCTTTGTTGGCGCTGCCTTCAACTTTACGTTGCCAGTATGTACACATTTCGTAGTAATTTTTTATTTAAAACATTTTTTAATCTTTTTCATTTCATACTTTTTTTTTCGGGGAATGCAAGTTTAACAAAATTAAACTTTTCTCATTAAAACCTACGTACTACGTACTACAGTAGCATTGTTATCCACATTGACCAACGGAGTCAATGTTTGAGTTGAGGGTTTACGTGTTATAAATACGCTAAAATATTGCCACAATTGGTTAAGCGAAAATTGTAAAAATATAGCAGAAATTGGAGAAATGTGGAGTTTCGTAAATGAAAAATAGGGTTTTGAAAAATAATTCTCCAAGTATAAATTAAATTTTTCGGTGGTGTAAATAAATAAACTTTTGGATAATACATGGTTATAGTTGTTAATAATATGTGTATATTGTAGATGAGTATAAGTTGCAATACAATTTTGATAATTAAATTTCGGAAAAAAACTTCGAAGGTAGTAGTGTCTTTAAGTAATTGATAAGGTTGCGACAGGGATGTTACTGGATGGTAAATATATAGGAAAAAGTAATCACAAAACGAGAGTAGTTGTTAAGAAAAATAAATTTAAAATTTTTGAATGTTTAATTTTAATATAAATTTGAATTTAAATTTGTCTTTGTATTTTAATTTAAATTTAAATGTCCCAGGAATTTAAGGCAATGAAGCTGCTAAGTATCTTTGCCAATATGAGCTTAATTGGTAACGAAGCCTTTGTGTGGACTCATAAAACGTCACTTAAATTTGGTTGTCAGAAAATGGGAGAAAAACAATTTGTAAATTACTGTTGTAATAGTGTAGATCAAAGTCAAGCAAAACGATTTCATATTCAACCGTAGGGAATATCGATATGAATACTTTCTTTAAGCAGGGTATACTTGAGGACTTTATCCGGCTACCTAACAGGTCATTATATACTTGGAATTTCAATTCCATAAGTTAGGATCTCTGGCAGTGATATGTGTAATTTTTGTGAGATTGAGATTGAAAGTTTAAAGAATATTTTTTAAAAATGTCTTACTCAAAGGTTTTTAAAAGGCTTGGTGTTGGTACAAATTATGGAAAAACAAACCTCAAGATGTGATAAAATTTATATAAACTTTAAATACAGATTCAAAGCTATACATAAAAGTTATATTCATTATTAGCACTAGGTTTAAGCAGAAACTGCATAAGCGAGGGATTACACCGTTAACACATCACTGAAAGTGGATCAAAAATGCTAAAACTTTTCTTGAGCACCTGAGCATATTCACAAAAAATAGAGCTAGAAATTGGATTTGGTTTTCAAGATCGCTGGTGTATTATATTTATATATATATAGGGAGAGGAGAGAGGTTTAAGGCTGTTAATATAGAGGTTAAAACTTTACGAAATTGAATTTGGTTTTCAAAATCCAAATTCTTCCTGCATATTCTTCCTTCTTCATTAAGAATATATTAGGAAAATATTTTTTTTTGTAGTGACATTTCTTCTCTAATACCCATGAATTTGTTATTATCAACATATATACATTATATGTATTCATAGGAATGTATTCATTTAATATTAGTTGAAGTTGAGTTGAGAGGTAATATTCTTGTGGTGCACCAAAAGTCGCAATGCAAAGGCAAAAACTATGCACAAAAACAAAATAAAATGAATTTGTAACAAGAACAATGTTGTTTTGTGGAGTTTACTGATATGTAAGGAATTCGTTTAAGTGCTTAGTGCAAAATGAAAGTTAATTATGCATATGAAATTAATATAATACAAATTAATTATTTTTTTGCAACATGTATCATTATCAACAATCGATTAAGTCAACTTAAGAACATAAGTGGACTGCTGAAAAAGGGGTGCTTGCAAATTATTTTCTATATACTTGTCTTTAAAAGTAGAGCACAAAGTCTATTTATATGCTCTATTATATGTCTGTCTACTGTCGAAAAATATATCCTAAATGTCATTATTTGCCTCTTACAATTGCAAACGTCATAACGGATAAAATATTATAATATATCCATATAATATATAATATTGGCATTGCTTTGAGTTTAGCTCTTATTAATAATGTGTTTTTATAGAGATAATCACGAACTGGAGTAACGAGCTGGATAATCTAGTAATGTAGTAGTATTCTGAAGTACTATTAATATAACATATATACTAGAATTGTATTTTGTTGTTACGTTTTGAGCATTGTTGCAATGTTACCGCATTTAGTGAACTCGTTACGTGAAATCGTGAATATCCCTCGTATCCCTTGCCTATTGGGAGAAATTTTATAACATTCTTCCTTGGTGAAGCACTTAAAAAACTCCACAATGTATGCAATTTTTATATGGGAAGAATATAAATAAATGGTTATGAGAACCCAAAAACTGTCTTATTTGGCATTGGTTCGAAATTTGAGGCAAATGTGATTAAATTGTTTTCAGTAATTCTGTACATTGAATTTATTTCAAAAATAAATATTTTGATAATTAAATAAATAATTTAATTACAAAAGATTTGTATTGTTTTGATTTTAAATCTGCAATATTGTAGAAATAAATCTCTTACCTTCAATAAATCCCTTAAATAAATATAAATAAAACTAAAAATTCTAACTCAAAAAAAAATATTTAGTTGGTCATAAAGATTTTTGTTTTTGATTAAATAAACCTTAATTGGCTTTCAAATAACAAACAATATTCTTTAATCTTATACTGATTTCAAATCAATCTACATAAATCTAACATACATATTTTTGTTTTGCCTTAATTGCAATTTTAACGCATTGTAGTTGAGATTTGTTTATAGTAATTTTTTAAATATAAATTTGTGATACTTACAGTTCTAAGGCCCAATCCAAAAATTTATGCAAACCATTTTCCAATGGTTTCGTTTGGAACCAATTTGTATGGAATGGCATCATATAAGGTGCTTTATTTTGTTCATAGTAGCGTGTGAAGTCCTCTTGCAGCCATTCGAACACCTCATTCTCATCCAGATTGTGCAGAACACATTGATCCAAATAGGGACAATGGCCACCCTCATAACCCTCAACGTAGTGAGTATTTAATGGCACTTCCCAAACGCCAGGGAAAGTTTTCGATGGACATGTGCCACTCTTGCATTCATGTGAGATTTTGTAGTCGAGTGTGTATGGCCAGACAGGCACATTGACTGGCGGCACCGTTATTGAACTGTCATATATGTAGCCAAAGTCTTCAAGCACCTGTTGGGATGAAAAGCATAAAAGAGTTTTAACACACAAAATATACTAGTAAAAAAACAGACAGAACAAAATATTAAAAAAGAAATTCTGAAAAAAAAACAGGAGTGTTTAAAATCGTTTACCAGAGACGTGTAAGCTAAATGGAAACACTATGCTTTTTGCTTTGTACTTTCATCGTGAAAGATATTTCCATTTTTGAAAAAGTTTGTTAACCAGAAAATAAACTATAAAAAAATAAACATAAACTGCACTTACAACTAATTATGTGTGACGGTAAAGGGCGAGATAATAACGATTAAGGACTTAAAGGATGTTTTATGAAAACAAAAAATCATAAAACCAATATGGAGGGTCATATCCTGTGCTTGGTTTGGTTTAATCGTTAAACTATCAATTTGGTGAAATAATCTTTAGTGGATATTGACAACAGAAATTCTTTTCTGAGAGAATAGCACAGCCAAGCTCCATTTTTTATGACGCCAATAATTTTCTAATGGTTTATTAATTAACGTATAAAAACAGTTTGAGGATTATGTTATATATAATTTATGGTTACATTAAATGTATAATTTTGGTTAATAAAGTAAATTAAGAGGAGGTACTTTTATAATTGGGTGCTTATGTATATTAAAAACTGTTTATTCAATTAATTCTTTGATTTAAATATTTTAGTGAGACATTTCACATATACTGATGAACTGCAAATTTGTGATTGTAAAATTAATTATTTTTTAATTTAATTAATTAATCTTTAGCCCAAATTCCTATTTTTTCATTTATATATTTAATGAAAATAACAATATTACCTTAATGTTTTCTTCCTAACAGTCAGATGTCTCTAAGCTTACAAATCTAAGCTTACACTAAACATATATAACCAACTAGAGGCATATAATATAAAAAGGAACTCGAACTGATTGTAATGGTTCGAAGGAAAACTATCACTTTTGTCACGTCTAAAATATATGGATGCTTCACAGTTTTGGAGTTTGAAAGCTGCTATCTTTTAAGATGCTCATTAAACATCTGTGTAAGTCTTTTTTCCATCTAGAATCGCTATATATCAATAGGTTTACATGTGTCCTTTAGCTTACCACGTTACCTTAATTTAAACATAGCGTGGTGGTTATTATGCTAAGTCTATATAAGTAGTGCAAATTTTCTTAAACGTATGAAATCCTTCTAGGAACATCTTAAAGTTTTAGATATAGAGCAGTGAGATACATTTAATTAAAGCTAAAGTCTTAAGTCGAAAAAACTTTCAATGTAATAAAGTTAATGAGTGTATACTTAAACTCGTATTGATCAAGAAAAGAGGACTACCTTAGAAGAAAGTAGTAAAAGAAATTGGCAAGATATAGACACGAAAAATTAAAGTTATGACAATAATATAAAGACGGATATGATATGACCAGGTTGGGCTTATTTTACTTACAATACAACTAAAATAAACATAACAGTATATTAAATTAAATTATAATTAAATTATAATTATGTATTCATATATGTTTTACGACTTTTTGTAATCTTAATGATTGTATTTTATTACAAAAAACTTTCGATATAAGCTGTAAGTAAATCCCTAAATGGGTAAGGTTAATGTAATAGAGCTATAGGAATGTTGATAAGTCAAATTGTCGATTTAGTTTCTTCAATAACTGTGAAATTGACAGGGTGTCATTTTAATTTCATGTTTTCGATAGATCATCAGACTATCTATTGTTTTAAGGGAAAAATATGATATACATTAATTAGTTTTTATACCAGTTGTACAAAAAGATATATACTAAAACCTTTGTCAGTTAAGTAAATTAATGTATAGTTTAATAAATTATTTAGAACATTTTAATTCATTTATTTGGGATGCTATAAAAATAAAATAATGTAGTTAACAAAATATAACAAAGAAAAATTTGCCTAATTGTGGTTAATTAGAAATATATCGCGGGCCGCACAAATGTTAGTCGCGGGCCGTGCTTTTGACAGCCCTAGTCTATTTAATTAATTGAGGTGGATTCGAGCCTTTCTGCACTTTACTTCCCTACCTACCTACCTACCATTCACTTTGTATTATATTCTGAAACTGTTGAAATAGTTAGTTTATATTATCATATGAAAGCTGTTTAATTCTAATAAAATATATTTCCATGATTAGATAATTTTTAACGAAATTAATGGAGTAGAATGCTGTTTTGTGGGGGGATCGCTCATTGACACAGAATTCAGAAATATCCCTACATTATTGTAGAGAATAAGTGGTAGTCAATTAATAAGTGTATATAAAAGGTATTTTTTTATAAGAAGAATCTGAAAGTATGGTATATATTTACATTATTCTAGAGAATAAGTGGTAGTCAATTAATAAGTGTATATAAAAGGTATTTTTTTATAAGAAGAATCTGAAAGTATGGTATATATTTACATTATTCTAGAGAATAAGTGGTAGTCAATTAATAAGTTCATATAAAATTCTTCTAAAAAAATTAAAAAATTGTTTTGAATTCTAATTTATGCATTATGCATTATTGAAGATAACGCAACAAGAATGTGAAATAGGGTTTATTTAATTCAAGTATTCAAAAAAATAGTTATTAAGTTCCTGACACTGCATGCATAATAACATGTTCTGATGGGAACATTCAAAGTGCATATACGTATGCATAGGGCTTAACCCACATTAGAGAGTAAAAAGTTTATGCCGGCATGAATGCAATCGAAGGCCAAAAGGCTTTTAAAGTATCAAAATCCATAAAACACTGATGCTTTTATTACTGAAATTTTTTAATTTTTTCCACTGTTTTATTTTTATATGTGATTTTGAATACGAAATTCTGTTTTACTTCCAAGTTTGATTTTATTTCGATTTTAATTGAAAATTCAACGGCACGTTTTGTAATAGCAAAACAGTGCTATTGTATGGATTACATGTGTGCAAACATTCGAATGAGCTTATACATGTTTAAATTCATACAATATAGTATACGTATATATAGCATACGTATGTATGGACACCGATTTGTACTTGGATCTGTACAGTTCTGCACTCGTAATAGCCTAGAACAATAACCAACAAGGTTGCGTGCATTGGCATAGACAGACGGTGAGACGTGCGGAATAACGTTGAAATATGGTACGTATCTGCGTATTTGTATAAGTTCGGTGATGAAAATTGATGTGACACTACTTTTATGTTGCCAATGATGATAATTAAGTTCTTTGATAGGTTAAACTATGGACTTAGCCGTTCAATGGTAAACATTTCCATATGTGCTCACATATAGGCGAAATTGCAAACATACATATTATGTAGCACATGACTTAGTATATATGACATGCCAAAAGCACACAAAATACAACCACGAACATGTGATGTGATTTTGATGTGATTTTAATTTGTTATGCTTCCACAATTGACATTTAACTTTTGTTGTGAATACGAAATTTTTAAGTGGGCCGGGCATTTCGCATGCTATTTTACATGTACAAATGCTCGCCCGCAAATATACACTTTCATATGAGTTCACATTTGAATACACATTTGCATAGATATTCACTTTCGAATTTTCTCTCATATGCCAAGTGAATGGGCGTTTGTAAAGTGTAAAATCAATTTGAATTTTCTGACATTTACATAGAAATTTTATTTTGTTTTAATCTCACCTTGTACTGTGTGTTGCGACCAGGTTTCAGGAACGGTGCACGCATACCGACGACATCATTTACGGATACATTGGAGAAGTGTCGCAGAATTTCACGCATGCCAATCATTTCACCAACCCATTCCTCGTAGCCTTTGTCCTGTAAGCCCTGTTGTTGGGATATGCTCTCTGTGGCAATTTCGTGGCCAGCGAAACCAAGATGTTGAATTTGCTGATAGTTGCTGCAATTGAAGTGTACAAAAGATTACATTATTGTCAGACACATAATTGAAATCCAAATGAAATCTCATTTAAAAATATTTTAATGTCATTAAAAGTTGTTTCTTACTTTATAAGGATATACAATTCTTTATGCTTTCATGCGCAATTATGAAATCATATACGAATCAAACACACGATCCCTGCCTTATGCATATTTGAATATGTAAAACTGACGACTTAAGACTTTCCTTCTACCAATTAAAGCAAATTTTGCATATTAATAAACACAAACAAAAGCAAAAGTTTGCAAAGTTTGGGAATCATATCAACCAGGAATGCAGAAAGGATTTCAGGAACACATACACAGAGCCACACAGCCATACAGCCATAGAGCCATACAGCCGTACAGATTTGTTGAAATTAGAAATGGGCTCACTGAGTCGTGCATTAAATCCAAACAAATGTATTTGCATTTATTTTGTTTTATTTTATTTTATTTTATTTGTAAATAAAAATAATTAAAAATTGTTTACACATTTAAAATATATCTGAATTGTTATATTTTTTTTTTATATAAATATATATATATATGTGTAAATATTAAGTTTTTAAGAATATTAACAACCACATAAAATACATTCAAAAATATTTGTTTTTAAGGGGGATGTGGGGATTTTTAATACTTATATCCTCTTAAAGTAAGTTATGCATAACATATATTATTAAATTAAATAAAATTAAGAAATACTTAAATTTAATTTTGTGTTAAATGAACTCATATCAAAAGGGTTAATTGCTGTGTTGTAGATTTGGTAAAATGAACAAAATATTTAAGAATTGAATTTAAAAAATTTATTCAATAAATTTAAAGCCTTTTTTAAATATTGTAGAATATTTTTTATTTTTCTTCACAGTTTGTTATTTTTAAAGTAATTTTTTCGTTGAAATGTGGGAGCGATTTCAATTTTTATTCATATTTATTTGCTTATATGTCATTGATTTTTTGGAAATTTTATTATTTCTGCATAATTTAAAAAAAAATCCTATTTGTGTTTCATTTAAATAAAAATTTAAATCTTTTTATTTATTTCTTATTTATTAATAAAATGTTTGATGGAAAATTTTAAATCGATATAAAAAATATGAAATGGAAATATACAAATATAGTTTTTGTTGAGCTATTTTGCTTAACAAAAACGTAGGATATATACTCATATTAAAATTGTATATATCCTATAGTATTCTTTTAAGTGGTGTTATTTATTTCATACGCAGCCAAAAAATTTAACATATAGATTTAATAAATATTTACAAAACTGTTGTATAATTGTTCGACTATTTATCCGCTGGATTATATTTTTATTTAAGTCAATTTGTCATTACCAAAAGAACAATACACAGATTGCAACAAATCATATATAGACATTGTGATAATAAGACAGTGTGTTGTGTTAAAAATTATTGTGTTAAAAATGTGTAGATTTTTTAATTATATATAAAAATATCATATAAATCAAAGTATATTTTGGTACTTTAAAAGTTGACTACATTAAGTACACAACATTATAAGAGTTAGTCCTCCAGACATTCTTCATAAACTGATTCAGGAATGAACTTTAAATCCGTCAGTGTATTTTTTATATTGATCGAAGTCGCTTCGAAACATACTAATCGAAGTCAACAAAATGGTAATTTTACCTTTTAGAAGTCAAAAAAATCATTTGGGTCCTTATCAGATAAACACTGTGTATAGTCGATTAAATTCGTTGAGTGTTCTTGTCAACAATTTTGTTCAACAATGGTTTTTTAATTTCGTTCTACTATAAAATAAACCCGCAAGTTGGTTTTAGTAGGTTAAAGTCTCTCATGCTAACTTTCGAATCTTTCTATTTATTAAAAACTATTCACATATTCACATTTTAGTTTTTTGTACGAGTGTTACATGGTACGACAGTTACATGGACAAGAAAGCAACGAAAATGCGGACCTTTATGCCCAAATCTTTACAAAGAATTCTTGAATTTTGACTTCAAAAGAGCAAACATCGTTCTCACTCTAAACAAGAAGAGTCTGAAGTCACACTCTATTACAGTAACCGGCCACTCTACATGAAATATCTACACTACTGTGTAAAATTCCACAGACACTTCAATTTGTCTATTTAAAAGTAGGGCATTACAAATAAAAAATTTGAGTATAACTTTCATCGATAGTACTCTTGCTCAAGAAAAAGATACCGTAAAACTTCTTCTTTTTGATTGCCCGGGCTTAGCGTTCTGGAGAAATAGGTTTTTAAGATGATAGTTCTTTGACAGTCTATTAGACTGTTCATCGCTAAACATGAAACATTAATTAAATAATCTTAATTCGACGGGATGGACTTAATCTATACTCTTCTATCTTAAGGGTTCTTGCGAGGAATGTGGTAGCAAAACTGCGAAAAATTGCTTATTGAGGTACATGGAAATTATCTAATGGCCTGACACTATAACTAATCAAACAACCATCAACCACCACTGCGTCTTTGCAGTCGGCGAGGATTTGTTTCGGGTAATATATTTTCTCTGAAAAAATTTTTTTATTTAGTCATTGTAATCAGTAACCAGAACTAAAATTTCATTAAAATACGGTCAGAATAACCGATATGTCGTTATATTGAGGTCGCTATACAGGGTTATAACTTGTGTGTGGGTTGCAAATTTGATAATATGGCGAACCAAAGTTGACTTTCAGAAACAGTTGTTAAATTTGGTTGATTGTGTCATTATAAGTGATTTCTAATTTATGTATAATATATATTCTATATATATATTTTTATATTTCATATATAATTTTTCAAATACCTTACTGAATGGATCAGTTACGGTTTTATACAATTATTTTATATCTCGCCATTCATTTTTTAAGAAATAAAAACATTGAGTATGTATAATATGTAACTTTTTCAATATATTTCAAGAGAGATTTTTTCGAACAGTAGTTAATTACAACAACAAAAATTTTATTTTATATATAATTTTAATTAATTGAATTTTTGGCTGACCATATAGCTGTATATAGCTAACTATATAGCTGGTCTTGGAAATAATTCTTATATTTAATTAATCGTAAATAATTTTTTGACGCTGCAAGTACCACGAATCGAACTCGGGTTCTGCCAAATTTGAAGCTAAGAGTCAGTGTTCATTTGTCAACTGATCCAAAGCCATACTTGACTTTTATGTTCGCACATTTTTCTGGAGTTTTGTTAATTTGCTATGAAAGTTCATTAACACATTTACTTCTTGTGTTTATATTAGAACGAAATCTTAAGCCAGCTGTAGAATAATTGTATTAATTAATTAATTGTATTTTTATTTTTAATTGTTAAATTTCAATACTATTCTGTTCGTGTTTTAACTATATATTTCAAGCAAATATAAATTATTAAAAATTTCTGAAAAAGTTTTTAAACATCCTCACATATTCAGCTCAGCAGATCATTTTCCAGTTCACGGCAGTGTGAGCATTTATTCTATTAGAAAATAAAAATGTTTTGTTATATCTAAAATTGTTCTAAAAATTAATTAAACAAAATTTGTTGTTTTGAACTGTTTAAAAAAGTTCTTAACACGGACAAAATGTTTATTTTGTAGAATTTTCTATAAAATTCCAAACAATTTTCCAAAACTCTTTGCGACCGATGACTTCAGTTGGCAAATGCTGACATGTTAACCGACAATGACAACTAAAATTCATAAAGATTAACACTCGACTTTAGTAACGAGCAACAAGCGCCAACATTGTTGATGATCATTATTATCTCGTACACTAAAATCAACATCATCATCTGCATTAACTACACCATCAGTGGTAAAACTGCATAACTTGCACTGTACATACAATGACATTAGCAACAATTACAACAATTACAACAATTACAACAATTACAACAATCACAACAACTACAACAACTACAACAATACAGCAGCAAATGCAGCGTGTTTGTTGCAGCAGAAATCAGTACTAAGTTTTTAAAAAGGATGCATTGCATACACAAGGATAACACCAAAAAAAAAAAAAAATAAAAGGAAAAGAAATTCCGAGCAGATAAAAACAAACTGGTTCGGAAATCTTTTAGGTTTACTAAATGGGTATTGCTTGTTGGTGTTTTGAGGTTGAGCTTTTCTATTTATATAAGGTTAAAACGTTAGCTTCCAGAGGAATATTTAAGATGGCATAAATGCATTTTCAAAGTTTACTGAAATTTTTAAAAGGACTACTATGTGCTCCATTTGTAGGTGTTTGGGTGCATATGCGGAGCAGTTAGTTAGTTAGTTGGTTAGTTAGTTGCTGGATAGAGGTATGGTATGAGGATGTGTGGTTGTGTGTGAGATGTCAGTCAAAGCAACAACTTTACTGGCAACGACAATCTGTGTTAATAGAAAATACTTTGTTAGTTAGGTCGCAGAATTGTGGGTGTAAATTTTCCGAAGTGTAAGACACACTCGTATGCAAAACTAAAATGGTTACTAATAAAAAGTGGAAAAATGGGAACTTCTAGTCAATTTTTAAATTTTTCCTTACCCTTTGTGCTTCCGTCTGTTTCTGCTACTGGTTTTGTTATTCTGATGCTGTAAGTTACTCGTATATTTTTTTTTCAGTGTTGTTTTCAGTGCACTATTTTATGGTACATGTGGGTAAAAAGTTCTAATTGCATTGTTACATGAGAGATTTGTAAAGGACATTGTATCATGTTTGATATATGAAGCTCTACTTAAAATTTCTTGTCGTTGGATGTGGCAGAAATATACTCCTGTAAGTGTGTCTGGTTTCATAAGTTACAGAAAGGAGTAAACACATTTGATTTATTAATTTTTGTGATTTTGTTGTAGAGTTTTCTGACAGTTTATGATTTGTACATAAACTTGAAGAAAAACTAACAATTAAAATTTTATTAAAATTAAATTTTGTTTTAGAATTTTGGGATTTTATTAAAATTTTTGTAGTGGGCATTCAAGTACTTACTATCTAAAAGCAT